TGACAATCTCACCATGGCCTTCGAATGGGTAATCAATCACTATCCGCCCCGTACGTGAATCACCAATACCACTGTATAAATTGCATTTGCCATCCTTACGCATCGTGATTCCCGACACAAACGCGCAATCCACAAGACGAGGAAGCTTGGGTGTGCATTGTGGGAAGCAATCGTGCGTTCCAATAATTTTAAAGTCATGTACCTCAAGTGTGTCTGGATCCAGAACAAATGAGGTGCAACAGTAGACACGGAGCTGGTCTGCGTCTTTCTGGTCCTGTAGGTAGCCGTGATGTGAAATGCAACCAAGCTTCCCTGAAGAAAGCAAGTAAACTTGGTTGGGTCCCCCCCAAGCATCACCAAATTCTTTGTGCTGAATATAGCGTGCTGAGTTGACAACCTCAGGGGACAGTTGGGATATGTCATCAATGATCGCCAGCCCTGTCAGGCAAGCATCCTCAGGGCGAAAATGTGAAAAAACACCAATTTTCCCGTTTGCAAGTTCGATTAGCCTGACGTCTTTCATTCCAAAAGGTCCTGAACTAAAATACTTCAAGTTGTCGGGTGTACCGCGATAAAAATCGCACCAGTAGCGTTTTATTTTTCCAGCACTTTTGGTAATACGAGTCCCACCAAAAATCATCTCGCCATGAATTTTCACAATAAATGGATCCTCTAGATTCCAAATCATTGAATTTGGCACCCGTGTGTACTCATCAGGCCCCGTCTCTTCAAACAAAATGACATTTGATTGTGCCCATTCATCAAACTTTTCTACACGTCCAAAAATATAGTTCTTTCCTTTGAATTGAAACGGAACAGATGGGTTGTACACATCAAAGCCATCCACGCCCTTGAATGTGACCAAGGCACTTTCGTAAACCTTCTTGTTTCGCTCGAACTCTTCCTTTGCAGGGACCAACGTGCAGGACTTTGATAGAAAGGCTCCCCCCATCTTAAGAATAGGTATATTAGTTTCTTTCTTTTTCCTTGTGTATCTAAAGATATATGTTTGCGTGTTTGTATATATATTTATTTAAGCTTTACAACGGAACTATGGTTGTTGGAATACCACCAAGGAAGGAATAAAACATTACGCATATCTTGCATAATCTGCCCTCAAATATACAGAAACTATTAGTAATGGAGATTACATCCTCGAATTCAGTGTTTAAAAAATAGACAAACATAAATCACTTAAATATACATATATATAAAATTGATATATATATGTGTGTGCATATAAGTGCACAAATAGGTGTTACTTTTGATATTAAAAAGTGGTTTGAAATGTAATTTTTACCATATACATTTTCTGAATACATATGGATCTTAGTATTATCGAAGAAAAATTAAGTGCTCATCCTTATACCTTCTATATCGGTAACAACACAATAGCTTCTTCTTAGGAAAAAGCTAACCACATATTAGGTATATAAAAAAAAAGGAAAATATCAACAAGAACATCCAAATGCTATCTTTTGACCAAGATACTAATTATAGCTAAAACATTTCAAAAAAGTGTCAGCTGTATGGAAGAGGAAACAAAGGAAAAGGAGACCATTTCAACAAATAAAATGATAAAATAATTTCATAGCAAGAAATTTAAACCAATATTTTTTACAAAGTGTTTCATTCTTTGATGCTGCCTTTTCTAACGCTATTCCTACTGCATTAAAAAACAAGTGAATCTACAATATCGCCGTGCCCTTCGAAGGGATAATCAATAACGATGCGTCCCTCGCAAGTATCCCCTAGCCCACTGTAGAGGTCACATTTTCCGTCATCTCGCATTACTATACCGGAAACAAAAGCACAATCAACTAGGCGGGGCGCCTTCACGGGGCAATCAGGAAAGCATGGCTTTGTTCCGATAATTTTGTAACTGTAAACCTTATTTGTAGAGACCTCATAAACAAATGAAGTGGCACAATAAACATTAATCAAGGTGCCGTTTTCACCGTCTGCGAGGTAGCCATGGTGAGAAATGCATCCGATTTTCCCACTGGTCAACAGATAGGCCTGATTCACCCCTCCCCATGCATCTCCAAAAGCAGAATGGTCGATAGGCGATGCAGAGTCAATGGCATCGGCGCTCAAATCGTCCAACTTATCAATAATTGCAAAGCCTGTGAGACATTTCTTCTTGAATTTATGGTGGGAAAATATTCCAATTCTTCCATCTTGTAGTTCAACAAGGCGAACGTCCTTCATTTTCTCTGGACCGGACGTAAAGTAAACAAGGTCGTTTGGTGATCCTCGGTAAAAGTCTGTGCCATAGTCGCTCACTGTCCCTTTATCCTTTTTTATCCTTGTTCCGCCAATCACCATTTCTCCCTGAATTTTTGAAACAAACGGGTCTTCTAGTTGCCAAATCATCGATCCAGGAACCAAAGTATATTCATCATTCCCGGTTTTGGCGAAAAGACGAACGTGAGAATTCACCCATTCGGGCCTTCGCTCAACTCGACCTAGAATATGGAATTTACCATCTATTTTAAAAGGTACAGAGCAATTGTAGACATCGTAGCCATCTACACCTTTGAATTTTAGATGTGCTGACTCATAAATGACTTTCTCCTTTTCAAATAAAGCTCTTTCAGGTACCATAGTGCACTTCCTACCATCGTGGGCCTTTTGTTTTAATCTTAAAAAATTGTATACATAATCCATGCTTGAAATGTTTGTATAAATATATAAGTGCTATTGTTGGTGGTTTTAATAGTTAAATTAGATACTAACTGATTTTGTGTCAATAATGAATAATTTTGTTTAAAACCTGTTTTAAGAAAGAATTATAGAAAAAAATGCAAACAATATTTTTAATACTATCGATGAATTCACTAGCATCAATAAGATTTTACAACATTTCCATGAGCCAAGTATGTACTACTGATTAAAACCCATTCCAAAGACAGGTCAAAGGTAAACAATCTAGTCGGACGTCATATAGACACCTATTCAAGCCCTTTGGTATAGCAGAATGATAATAAAGCAAACCACCTGCGGGGTTGCCCTCGATGCAATACACCCAAAAGAAATGATGTAGGCACTCACCCGTGCGGCTTCAACTATGGCTGCGATCCAATCGAGCAGGACCCACGGTTTCACGACCCACTCCAAACTGCGCGCCACAATGGCATGGGACGCAACTGGCAAGCCCCGGGGGACCCTTTTCTGGAAGGTCATCAGCCCTAAAGCCCAGGCTCGGGCTTTTGACTGTGCAATGGCTTTAGCACAGGTAAGGACGCCACGCCGGGGCCACCGGGGCGGCCCCCACCCAAGGACCCCGATGGCCAGCACCCCATTTGGAAGTAAAAAATCGGATATGGCGCCACCGCCCGGGATTTTGAATCGGAGTTGGTCGGCATTCTATGAATTTTCTGTAATTGCCAGTCCGCATTCCAAAGTATGAGTGCAATGTCCTAATATGATTTTTTTTTAGCAGCAGAAAAAAATGCATAGAGCGGCAGAACATTGGGCGAACGATTTGTTGGTCCAAAAGTCCAGCATCCAAAGCGCCCATTCCCCATCACGGGGGCGTGGCCGTGTCCAAAAGCCTCTCCTTAAAAATGTCTGATATATTTTATATTACTCGCGCTTGGTGGGCATAGCTTCGCTTCACAGGCGCTTCTGTTGGGCCCTGGGGCCATTTATTTGCAATGGGCCATCCCTCTGCCAATACGGGTGTTTCTCATCCGGCCCCTGCGTGCCCGTGAATCACCCCGAAAAGACCGTGCCGCAGAAAAGTGGGGAATTGTAACCCTCCCCGGAATTGTTCGCGGACAAGCCTGTGTGTGTTCTGTCGGGGTGATGGCCCCGAATGGGACTACTGCATCATATGGGTTCAAAAATATCCCAAATTAGCACTGCTTTATACAAATATTTTCCGAAACAACTAAGCGCGACGCTGCCAAGGCCCTGGCGGGGGGCCAGCGCGACCCAAAGCCCATTGCCATCAGGGCCATCCCCCCCCAATTTTGCAAACCAATGGTTGAATACTGGAATCATGGGGCGCCCACCTCCCCCCCACTGTGCCCCACAATATTTCTGATATATAAACAAGGTGTCTTTGTTAATGGCGTGCCATGGGCAAAAGCACTGGCGGGCAACACGTTGTGATGCGATTTGCCCCTCGTTCCGGATATTTGAGCTAAATCTTGGACAGGCGCCCCCGTAAACGACGTCGGCGCCGATTTGTTAGCGATTTCGAATGGTCTTGGTTATTTTATCCTTTTTCCATCCTCTAGGCGCTGGCTGATATAACCCCCGTTCCCGTTTATATTTCCCAATGGTCTTGGCCCTGGGGGCCTCGGGCGGGTGCGGTTGTAAAATTTCCGACATTCACATCCGCATTGGCGAAATTATCCTTAATTTCGGTATTGGGAGTTTGTTCTCTGGAGTCTTGTTGGAAAAAAACATGTAAACCTGTGTGATTTAAAGTGGGATTGTTTTTTTTTCAGAGGGCGTCGATGCGCTCCCCTTCCCATGGGGGCTTATTTTGCCACAACATTCTCATTGAAATATAATTTTTTTTTACTTCAAACAATTCCGGATTCAACCCATAAAAAATGATAACGCCCACACGTGCCCTTTTACACATGGCGGCCGATACGTAAACCAGAAGTTGAAAAGGGGTTAAAGTACGTTTAGCTTGATCATAAAATTATATCCTTTGTTTGGGACGGCGCTGCGGTGGGCGGATGCCATCCCCAATCCCCGCCCAAGTGAATAAATTTATCTGAAGGTCCAGGGAAAAATCTCAATCTTGAATCTCTATGCCCTCATCCGTGAATATTGACTCCCTTATACATAAGTTGGTGGATTCATTTTTTTCATGTGGCTTTTATGATACCTCTTATGGTATGCCCTTTATCCTGTCTTCATCTGAATCCATCTTCTAGAGGCATTTGTAACGAATGACACATACACATCTACGAATAAGGAGTCATTGATGGTAATGGTAGAGGCATATTTTTAGGCGCATGCTGTGACAAGGATAACAAAAATGACCTAATTACATAAACTATGGTTCTGTGTTGCCATTTCCTTACAGACCACTGTATCACTTATCATAGAACCCCTAAACTATCTAACCGCCTTTTTGTGTAAGCGGAAAATAAGCTTTCCAAGCAATTTGTTGATTTTAATAACTTGACACTATAGGATTGTCGCATTTAAATACAGTACCACCTATAAGTATCTTGTAATGATAGCAACTTTATAGGCGAACCCTTGTATAAGTAGAACACGCACGTTGTGTGACTTGATTTCCGTGTTGCATTGATAATCTATTGCTTCATTGCAGCATATTCCACATATAGAGCACTTAGTACCATATCATAACACAACAAACCATCTCCCACGTCCATACTTGCATTTGCAGAGGGTTGGATATGCGTATGGCATTAGGGATCTGACCTTGTATTGTGCTACTAGAGTTACCCAACTTTTGAAAAACTACAATTAACCCTTCCCACGGCACCTGAACCCAAGGCACTAATGTCATGAATTGAATCGGTGCTAGTGGCCTCATGAAATTCTTATTCACTGTATCTGTGAGCTCACTATTTTTCGCCCTTACACTAGTAACTAGTTTAAACCCCTACATCTCATCATATATTCTACGTTTAATTAACGCTCCTGTGGCCCAACAATTTCATCGGTAGGAACTGAAGCTATGTTCATGGACCTTAATTCTTCAAAATAATAATAATAATATGTCAGGTTGAGCTTTTCATTGAAGATTGAAGGAATAATAAGGAATGAAGTTTTTATTTAAGTGAATTCAGAGCTATATGGCAACACTTCAAACACCAAGGATCAAAATGTGCTGTCTGACAACTTTTAATACAAATACATTCTCGATATATGCGGCTTTATTGCTTTTCACGAGAATAGAGCCGTGCTTATTTTTTCTGTAGGCACCCATTGAGCTGGTATGATTCGTGCCCCTTTAAGGAAAGGATAGTCTTTATGACCATATGCCCCGAAGATTGTGAAACAAAAAGTAGATTCTAAATTAACTAAAATCAAATTTCACACACTGCTGGGTCTATTTTTGATGCATGGCGAATCTTGATGCTTCTCATTATTATTTTAGATCGATGTCTTGGCTCTAACTGCTTTTACAGCTCCCGAAGCTGTTTTTATTGTTTCGACAGGGTCTGGCGTACATGCCAGACCTTTTCTAATTTTTTATACTTTTCAGGTAGATACTATGCATACCTTAATGCAGGTGACGCATCAGTCTGTTATTGTATTCACAGTGTTGCTGCATTCCTGTGTATAGTTGTATTAATTCCCAGTCGGTAGTATACCGGAGGCATTGGAGTCATGTTCTGCTATTAGCCTTACGGCGTTTACCTCTGCAACCTTTTTAGTAAAGTGGAATATGATCGGGATGTGTTTCCGGCTTCTAATTCAGATCAGCACACTCTGAGAATGTTGTTTGTTGCTTGGCAAGTATTTTTTATTTCTACTGTTCTTTATCCCGTTTGGATTCTTTTTCTAGTTCAATATTATATAGAAGGAACGCATGTCTGGAGTGTGCACACATAAAATATCATTTTGTCTAAATATTAAACGCATTCTTGGTGCGTGCACAGTGATATTTGGATGCAGTGGTACTAGTATTTATATATATTACCAAAAAATATGGCTACCCGAGTACATTGAACGTTTTGAGCTGGAAAATAAGACCCCGGTAAGGCATACCAAACTGTATCTTTCTGAAATTAATGATAATGGACGAACTTTGGCTCGTATAAATACGATGCCAAATCTTCTGTTCTATCTTTATGTGGCCTATCGTATTTTACTACTTGCAGTTTCAAGTGTACCACTTATCTGGTATGCTTTTTTAAGCTTTGGACTAGGGCTTTGTTCACATTATTTTTTTTACCATAGAGTCCTCCTCTTCCTCTCCTTTATGGGACCCAGCTACATTAAGCTTGGGCAGTGGATAGCCACAAGACCGGATTTATTTCCAATAGAGTTGTGTAATGTATTAGAGAGATTGTATGATCAGACAGAGCCACATAGTTGGCGTCATACGGAAAAATTGCTTCAACGTAAATATGAGGATGGTATTTGTTGTGGTAATGATGCATTTTATTATCTAAAGGATGTTGAAAGGATACCAATTAACAGTGGAAGCATAGCACAAATCCATCGTGCAAGGCTAAAGGAGAGCATTGATGGTGTACCAAGCGGTACTGAGTTAGTTGTCAAAGTGACGCATCCGTTTATTCGTGATAGAATTGCAGCTGATCTAACTGCGATGCATCTTTTTGTGAAAGTGGTTAATATCATAGTGCCTGGGGCACATGTGTTTAATTTGGACCATGCATTGATAAATTTTTCTAGATTGATTTGCTCTCAGGTCAATTTACGCATAGAATGTGATAATATGGAGCAATTTCGATACAACTTTAGAAACACAAAAGGGGTTCTGTTCCCTGTGACACTTCCATCACTTATATCTGAGGATGTTCTGTTTGAAACATTCGAAGAAGGTTCACCCATATATACCTTAGATGCGTCACTAGATAATAAAGATATCGCAGAGCTTGGTTGCCATATGTTTCTTAAAATGCTTTTTCAGGATAATTTTGTACACTCTGATCTGCATCCTGGTAATGTGCTTCTAAGAACAAACTATATGGGAGGTGCCCCAAAACACTCTAGTAAAGAACCGAGGCGGCAGCTAATAGTTCTGGATACTGGGCTTGTGACATCTATGTCGAAGCAGGAGCGAAATAACTTTATTGCGTTATTCGCTGCAGTAGCCTGTGGTGATGGCGAGCTTGGAGCTGATCTTATGCTTGACCGACTACCAGAGAATGTTAACCAACAGTTAACTAAGATGAATAGGGAAAATTTCAGAAGGGAGATGAAGTCCGTGTTTGATTTAGTAGCTCCCGGTACCGAAGGATTCAAGTTAGGTACTATCAATATTAGTGAAGTTCTTGCAAAAGTACTGAAAACAGTACGAGAAAATAATGTTCTTCTTGATGGTAATTTTGCGTCTCTTGTTTTTACTGTTATTGTCGGTGAGGGCTTAGGGAGAAGACTCACGCCAGATTTTAATTTATTTGTTGAAGCCGCACCGTATCTGATTACATATTTGGAGAAAGATGAGTTGTGGTTCTTAGCCAATAAACTGAGGGAAACATATGGTGTATCTGGATTGATTAGGGACACCGTGGATTTAGTTCGTACAGAAAAAGCAAATACATATTTCGAGGCTTTTGCAAAGAAGAGTATGGATTTTCTCGAATGTATATTTATCTCCATGACAAACTAGTTATTACATAGTGATGTTCCTCAGGCTATCATATTTATTCACTAATGTCATGGAATTTATTATTCTTCACTAATCAAAGTATCGAAAATACTTTAATATTGACGAAAAATTGCATTTGTTTACTCTTTCAAACATTTAGGAAGATAAAATTTCTCTTTTTTAATGAAAAGTCGAAAGTCGCTTATTTTTTTTTGATGCTATTGCATTCAGAATGAAGCGTATTTGGGTGAGATTATCTAAATTGCACTACTTCACAAAGAGAAATTCCAGGAGATTAAACACTTGACAACTTGCTGTCCGGACATGCTCCTTGAGTATAGTTGAAGAGTCGGGGTATCATTTGTATGACATGCAAATGGCAAAATTATCATTAGTATCGCGTGCGCTTGACTAGTTTATTCTACAAGTACAATTGAAGTCAGATAGCTCCGAAGTTCAACATTAATTTCATTCACCAAAAAGCTTTTTCTTTGCCAAGATTTCTGTGGTTTGTGGATTTGGACTTAAGTATTTAGTTTTTGATATACCAAAAACTAAGTTGTAGAGATATAACTCCAAGCAAGTGGATTATCCACATTCAGAACATGAATGATCGAGTTGTGGTTGCTTGTTTGTGTGCTAGGATTAGTGTTTCGATGCGTTTGCTTTTTTTCCCTCCAACATGAAAACTATCACCAAAATGATACCCTTTGCGCTGAATATGAGATATGTTACATTGCTAGTATTTCGAAGCATCATCATGATATAAGACAATATAAAGTTGTCATTTTTTTTTCTTAATATCTTTGGGCAATACTTTCATATTAATGAGATCATAGAGTGATATTATGGTCATTTTTCTTTTTGGTTAAATTAGATCTGATTAGTGTGAGGCGTATGAAAATTTTTCATGATGACTTTAATTTATCATATCAAAAGTTACATGGACCATAAAATCCACATAATTGAATACCTACATAATATTCGGTCATTTTCCTATTTACCTTGACAAGCTACGTATTTTTTCGTTGCATAGTCTACTTTTTTTAATCTTAGGTGTCGAAAGGGTGTTACAAAGCGAGAAAACATTTCTAGATTACCTTTTTTTCTAAATTCATTTGAGCATTTTGCTTATGAATGCGCTTTCTCAGTTCCTGAAGGAGTTAGATCCCTCTCAAATTGATGAAGCAGTGGAACTCTTACAGCGAATAAAAGGGGGAAAAGAGCCGTCCATAAGTGCCAGTTCTTATAATCTATGTTCAAAAAGTGACGATAGCCAAATACTACAAGTACAAAGTGCTTCTGTTAATAGTAACTTTATAAATAGTTCACAAGGAAATTGTTTCTCAAATTATACAGGCATTAATGCTGATGAAATACCATTGATGTATACTCGCTTTGCAAGATCTTCAGATATTGAGCCCATCGGAGGATCAAACCAAGGAAAAGCTCAAAAAACAGTAAAGAAAACGACGAATCGCAAAAAGTCTTTGAATTTTGTTGGACAGTTGCACGGTAGGGCTCACACTACGATTCCCTTCCATCAAGAGGGACTTACAGAAGAAAACGTGCAGGAAATAAATCGAAAAGCTGTATCAGTAAAAACAGTTACACCTGTAGTAGCTATTCGTAATCTTAACAGTTTCGGTTTTCTTTCTGGCACAGCTAAAGCAACTAGTGGGAACAGGAATAGAATGTTTCCTCTCTTTGTCCAGGACAAGCGTCAGACCCCTGAGGCACTACAATTCTGGAAGCATAGAATACCGAACAACGATAAAATGGAACTAACCGAAAGTGCGAAAAACGACATGGCAACTTCATTCGGAGATGAGGAATTTTCTTTATTGCATCCTCCTATGTGCTTAGGTAATATTGTGCTTGATGTTAACCGTTCATATTCTTTCAATGATTTTGTGGAAAGTGAGCGGGAACATTCTTATACCGATTTGAAATCCAATCCGCCTTTGACGTTGCAGACTAACACAATTAAGAATTGTATGCACACCAGCGGGTCCTGTAGCAAGTGCCCGTGCCTATTTCACAGTAGAGTTGCGGAGCCATATAAGGGCTTCAATAGCGAAGTTATTTTCTATGGTTTTTTTGCTGTTGGTTATGATCCGTGCCAAGCACGTCCACCCTACTTTGGAACATGTAACCACCTGCAAGGGGGGAGCCGTACTAATGAAGAGTTGGAGCAAATTGCACGCTTTCCAGTAGGAGAGCAAATACCTCAGTTTTCTACTCTAGACTATGATTATGATTCTGGTGACGACTGGGATGTTATGGATGGCGAAGATATTGGGGCGTCAAGTTCCAGCGATTCCAACTCGAACGGTGACGATGAGTCCTTTGATAGTAGTGACTTAGACTTTATTAATGATGATGATATTGATTCAGATTGTGAGTTGTATCGCCGAATAATAGAAGCACGCAAACGGCGTTTAAATCGATTGCGTGGAAAGGACAAACTTGTGCCTTTATTCAGCGGACCCTTTGTTGCAATTTCCGTAGAGGAGCATCCCTTGCGAAGGTACGATCGACTGGAGTTGATGATGCTACTTTCGGACAGTTATTTGTCGTCAATTTTGGAATATGAATTACAAGTTCAGCACGACTACTTTGCAAATACGACCAATGATAATTCTGTTAATACAAATGTTGATGAAACTAGGCAGCAAAAATTGATGAGGGCTGCGCTAAAAAATCGGCGTGAAATGACAGCTGATGAGATTAACGCTGTCCATGATTTAGTTAATGTAAATGGCAAGGTTTGTGCAAGAATTATTGTTGCAGCACTTCGCGAGCAGCATATGTGTGTAGGTGTGGCTAGAGCAGAGATTGAGCGAACTGTCAAGCGCTTTTATGAAAGAAAACGGGGCATCTTAGTGCGCCGCAATCAGCCATGGCTTCCAACAGATGAAAGATTATTTAGTAAAAGCACCAAGCAAAGGTTGGAGGTAAAATTCACTGAAAATTTCCATTCCCCAGATTTCCAATCAAACGATGAGGGCGATGCAGTTGATGATGATCTTGGAGCACTAGAGGACAACATTGACGCTAGTGGAAGTGTGAATTCACTAGACAAACCAAGCTCAGTGTTTCAAGTTAATGAAGGAACTAATCTTAACTTATTTGCATCCAAGGGGGATCTTTCCACAAAAAATATATCAGAAGTTCAATAAAAGTGAATGCCAGAAGCTTATTTTCCATAAATTGATTAAAATTGCGTTAGCACATTCAGAGTTTTATGAAAGGACTATGGTGCCAATAAATTAATGCTATTTCAAATCATGTCCATTATTCTTTCTTAAGCTTACACATGGTGGAAACATGTGTTTACATGTCTATGCATCAGTTTAATGTTTATCATCTGCGTACGAATCATACAACGTTGTCTTAGTGCATGAATGCAGTTCTGAAACGATTCAGTACGAACAGTGGAGTTCTTATTGAATAGTTTATACTTTTTATGGGCTATCCATTATTTTTACCCCAGGGAAAAGACCTTTTACCCTATTTTTATCCAAATGAAAAAAAGCACAAAAGTAGTTATTGGACTCTTTTAATTTGTCTAACTGAAGTTTTCCATTTTAGTTTCTTAGGAAAATATTAATGTACACGAGTCAATTAAGATCAAGTTGTGTGTACAGGTTCAAAATTAGTTCACTAACAGGATAGTCTTGATGGGTACATCTTGGGTTTGTGTCAGGGGGGAGTTATTCACTTTTGGAGCTCAAAAATGTGACTTTTTCATTTGGTTCTGTTATACTGTTCACTGAGACAAATCAGTGACACAAACGAATGCATGCTGTTTGCCTGGATCCGTTAGATGCGCCGCTTACTACTTTTTCTTCATTAAATTAAAAATGTGATGATAAGGTCATTAAATTGCACTAACCGCTGCCAGTATTTGAGTTTCCATGGTAGTGAAACTTGATGACATTCGGCATAATAAAAAGTCTCAGATTAAATGGAGCTGATGACAGAGAAATTCCATTAACGATGGAGAACTTCAAATGGGTGATCGTGTCATAAAATTTGATGTTTTGCAAAAGATTTACGGAGGAACATTTCGACAAGATGCAGTTCTTAATGCAAATATCATTATTAAGCTGATAGAAGTCTCTGCTCACCATTGCCGCTGTAAAAAGAATCTGTTGCTTGTTTCGATGACACCAGTGGTCTGCCTTTTCACTAAATTGAGTATCAATAAAGCAAAGCTATTTCCATAATTTGTAAGTCGGGTTGGATGAAGTCTAACAGCTTAATACATTCGGTTGATATGCAATCATATTCTGCTTCATAGTGAATGTTTCTCAGGATGGAGGCTTCGGCGTTGATGTTGTTGTATGCCAAGCGAGTTTTGTTCTATCTCAAAGCGTTTTAAGGTATCTAATTTGCTGCAGAATATATTGTATCCTAGGGGTTAAATGTGAACATTCTTTTACTTAGATAATTCTCCTTATCTCCTATTTGGTTGAATGAGCATAAAATAGGAATTGAATAGTTTTTTTTGTCCTATTGTTCTGATTTCTTATGGCATGTTGTTCCACCATACATGGATTCTAAGATTTTGTTCTGTAGCCTTATGCATAGAAGATAGGGTAGTCATGGAGAACTATAACTTGCTTCTGACCCGCGGTATATGCTGACCACCTCTTCGTGGTGCCGCGGACTAGTAGCCAATTGGCGAAGCTAAGTGCCTGCACGCCTTCCCGTTATCGGCGGAGGCATGTAGGCTTGGCTACTGGTACTGGTAGGGCATTCGACAGGGCTTCCCCTGAGGCTGTCCGAGCGGATGAAACACTCCGACTGAACACTGTTAATGCTTATCTGGTCTCCAGATACAGCTTCAAATACACTAAGGGCCTCCAAGCCTCTTTTCCTTGCACTTCAGATCTACATCTTTCCCCCCTTTACTTTATAGTTTACTAGGTCATAGGTTCTCATCTTCTTACATAGGTCTTTTACTTTCTTCTTTTCGACTAGCTTGCCAGCCATCTTCAGGACAAGCCATCTGGAAGAAGCCTTCTGTTTCGAGGTTCCCTTTTCTTTTTTTTACTAGGTTTCTCATTTCTAATTTTAGGTTTTCTCCACATCCTTTAGGTAATTTCTTTCATAACACATTTAGGTTCAAAATAAGGCCGCGCAAACTCACTAGTTATTTGCATGATGCTTCTCTGCAATTTCCTCTTTTCTTCCCCCTTTTTCTTCTAGGAATCAAGGGCAGAAGAGGGGCGTCAGGTGGTTCTGCCACTGGAGAGGTGTAAGGGCTAGTCCTTCCTTCCCCCTTTTTTTCTCACTCTCCCTCTTCTTATTTTTCTATTCCTTCCTCTTTTAAATTCTTTTGTAGATCTGTCAGACCTCGAGTAAGAGATGTAAGTTTGGTGAATCCTAACCTTGACCGGTTAGGATTGTATTGTCTCTCGTTGCTACCGGAAGGGGTGAGGTTACATAGCCTTTCAATTGCTTCCTTTTTTGGTTTCTCTTCCCCCGAGAACTCTGATCCTCACTTTGATGAGTCTTTTACGCTCGCAGAACTAAAGGCAGCTCTGCACTCTGCGCCGAGCTCCAAAGCCCCCGGACCCGATAAGATCCATTACGAATTGCTGACACAACTCTCTGATGAGTCCCTCGAATTCTTCTTGCAAATTATGAATCTTTCCTTCTCCACTGGCGAACTTCCCGCAGTGTGGAAAATGTCCTGCATTTTCCCACTGCTCAAACCTAGCAAAGACCCAGCCAGTTTGTCCTCTTACCGGCCGATCAGCATGACCTCATGCACCTGCAAGCTCTTTGAGAAAATCATCACCACTCGCCTTTTACGCATCTGGAGACCTAATGATTTCCAACACACCTTCCGAAGCCTACGCAGTATCATTATGTCTCTTACCAGAATTACTGATACCATTGAAAGGAGCCGCAATGAATACCATGAAGTACAG